ATGAGTGCAGCCCTGAATACACAGACAGGGAGTAAAAAACCACCTTGTACTGGAATAATAGCATACATGATGTCCTTAAATAGCTTATACTCTTCCCAACAAACACAGAAAAGCCCAGAAAGAAAACGAGGAAAAATACATCACATGACCCTTTAGCAACTCTTCAGTTGAAGATAGGGCTTCCCAGGGGCGCTAGTGTTAAAGAACCCACCTGCCAAAGCAGGTAGACATAAGAGACGTGGGTTCCATTCCTGGGTTGGGAAGATCCCCTGGAGGAGGGCATGGCAAGCCACTTCGGGATTCTTGCCTGGAGAATCCCAAGGACAGAGGAGCCTGGTGGGCTATGGTCCATGGGGTCGCACGGAGTCAGATACTAAGCAACTTAGTATGCAGTTGAAAATGTTGCTATCTTCATCTTACAGAGGAGAAAACTGAGGTACAAAGAAATTGAGTGGCATGTCCCAGGTCACAGAGCTGTAAAAGGAGAAGCTAGGGTTTTTTCCCAAATAATTTTCAAAATGGTTTCATTATGACAGTAGGTTTCAAAACCAACTTTCTTCAAAGATGTGACCAAGTATTTATCTTGAGAGGAACACAGGGCTGCCTTTCCTTACACTTAATCTTCACAGTAAGCTCTATAACTAGTACTTTTCAGGGCTCCCTTGTATTTGTTGATCAAAATTTGGGTCACCTTAAGAGTTCCCTTTTTTATCATGGAATTTCTTCTAGAAAGACTAAGGGGACAGCCCCAAGGAGCTAATCAGAAGAGCGCCCTTAGCGACGGCACTGTGGTCCAGTGGTTACAACGCTGCCTTCCGGGGCTAAGGGTGCAGGTTTGATTCCAGGTTTGGGAGTTAAGATTCCACATGCCTCCCAGCCAAAAAAACCCAAAGCATAAGACAAAAACAGTATTTTAAGAAATTCAATAAAGACTTAAAAAACGGTCCACATCCCCCTAAAAAAGTATTTAAAAGAAAAACAAAGACTGCTGTCAACACATCCAACTTAAAGTGCAAAATTCCAAAGTCATTGCCTCTTTCTACCGTTAGAACATTTAAAAATCCTTGACTTTTCAGCTTTTGTCCCGTTTGGAAATGCAAAGTCCTTAGTGAATTCAGCTAATTCATCTTCTGTTTAGATATCAGTAATCTGTAACCTTTTCTTGGGAACCATAGCAGAATTATCCATGGCCGAGAACAATGCCTCCCTTCCTTGCAGAGGTAACAGATGGGAGGTTTGGAAGGGAGCTGCCGTATTACTGACTGAGGAACAAAACACAACTGAGATTCACACGTGAGCCACCCATTAAGACACCTGGCCTTGTTACCATGGAAACTTAGGGTGACCGCCCGACTTTTCCACATATCTCCCCTCAGCTGCTTTTTGATTACTCCTCTGAAAAAGCCTTCTCAATAACCATTTTATCCGGATTTAGTTAGGGTGAAAATGTTGGCAGTTAGCTTCACATGTACTAAGTGTCTCAGGAATGCTTCTGGTCCTCAGTGATCTCTTGAGAGAAGATTTATGTTACTACCTCAGCGGCTCTAACTGCTGTCCAAGGTTCTGATACACACTTCCCGGAAAGTTAGGAATGTCAAAGAAAACACCTCAGGAAATTCTGCCCTAAAGACCAGTCAGCTGAGATTAACTGTTTTCATCTAAGTTTCTTCTCTTGCAGTATATTTCTATTTTGTATTTTACTTGAGTTGTGATTGAGACAAGCTGTCCTAACAAGGAGGACCTCTTTCTTCAAGTGACTCTCAGCAGCAGTGATTTGGTAACATCTGGAAACATTTTTAGTTGCCAAAAATGGAGATGGGAGGGACCTTCAGGAGTACTACTGGGATACTGCTAAAGGTTCCAAAAGGCACAAGACAGAGTCCCAAAACAAGGTGTTATGCGGGCAAAAATGCTAATTTTGCTAAGGTTGAGAAACTTCACTTTAAATAAATCTTCAGAAAATGGGACATTACTATTCTTTTTCTACTACGGTAAGGAAGCTGGGTTCTAATGTCAGACCAAAAAAAAAAAAAAAATTCTAAAGAAAGGAGAATTGTAGTTAAAAGTTGAAGCTTTGAGCCAGACAGACATGGATTCCACTCCCAGATCTGCTACCTAGCTGTGTGATCTTAAATAAGTTATGCAACCTCTCTACGAGGCAGTCTTCTCAGGTGTAAAATTAGCAGTGGTACCACTTCATTGGATTACTATGAAGAACCTGTAAACGCACACAGAATGCTTTGGCACAGGTGCTACTAAACACAAGCATGTGTTAGCTATTTAAAATGATGACTGTTACTCCCCAGTGAGACTTTTATCAACTCTCACTTCAATACACTCAGACCAGACAGAACTAACTCTTGGCATAAAAGCAACCCAGAAGCATAAACTTAAGGACGCCCTTCAGTCTATTTTCTAGTATTAACTATTGCTTAGCTCACTATTGCTGCCATAAGCTCATTCTTTTGCAAAAAAAAAAAAAGAATATGAGGATGAAAGTGGCATGATCAACATGACTAGTTGCAAATATTTATTTACTCATTCATTCATCACGTCTGACTAGGCTTGTGGCAGAAGGAAAATCTGGATGAGTAGACTGGAGATGAAGGTGAGACAAAGATAGCTAAGACCTTATCAAATAAAAGACTCATGGGACTGATTTAGAATGGAAGAACTAAGGCATGGACACAGAGGAGCTTGACATAAAGCAGAAAATGATAAAGTGCCGGGGAGACGAGACCAAAGTGCAGAGAGCTTTACAGCAGTTCCAAGGAGAAGAGACCACCTCTAGGTGGAGAAAATTTTGGCTATCAATTTCTTGAATAGCAAACACCCTTTATTTTCTATCAATCCTTCTCTTTCACCAAGCTTAAAGGAATTTTTAAAATTCTAAACCAAGTGATTAATTAAAATGATTTCTGGTATCCTCCCTCTTTCTTTCAGCTTTGGTGGTCATTAATCATCACCATTCCTTGCTTTTAATAGCATTAACTTTGTGTGTTACTATATTATTTTGGTTGTCTCTTAGAAACTCAATTGTGTCAGCATACAACAATGCTGACAATAGGTTCAGAAATGTAAATTAACCCTGATTCACCCCATCTCTGAAAGAGAGCTTCCGAGTCTTTCAGAAGAATGCTTCCCATCATTGAATGTGAAGTCTGTCTGGATTTTTTCACAGTGTTTTCAACAGGAGGCCAGATTATTTGGTCCAAGAGAAACATGTATTTGAGTAATAGTGGACCATTTTCCTACTTAAATAGGCTTTAAGAGCCTCAGACCAAAGGGCAAAAACATCCATCAGGGAATACCACAAGGGTCTTGAATTCACTAACATAATTTATGTTGAAAAATATCACACATTTTAAGCCCCCTTTCAAAATAAAGTGGCAAGTCTCTTGTTCAAGATGGTGATTTTGCCATTCTCAATTCCCTCGAAATTCTTATGAAAACTTGGAGAAAGAAGAAAAGACACAGTTTTGATTGATCCCTAGTCAGGGAACTAGATTCCAGGTGATACAGCTAAGAGTTTGCATGCCGCAACTAAAGATCTTATGCTGCAACTAACACCCAATAAAGCCAAGTAAGTAAATAAAATAGTAAAAAACAAAAGAAAAAGGACTTCCCTGGTGGTCCAGTGGATAACAGTCCATGCTCCCAATGCAGGAGGCCCAGGTTTGATTCCTGATCAGGGAACTAGATCATGCATACTGCAACTAAGACCTACTGCAGCCAAATAAATACATAAAATATTCTTTTAAAAGACATAACATAGGCTTCCCAGGTGGAGTTAGTGGTAAAGAACCCGCCTGCCAATGCACAGATACCAAATCAATGACTGTGACAGTACATATTTTCCCTACATTTGGAAGGTCTATGGTGACATAAAGAGACTTACCATTGATGATAAAGGCTGATACACACATGAATGAGAACGAATATTCTTTCTTGAAGAACTTTAAGGCAGCACTTTGTTCCTCCTGCGTTGTTTGAATAAGAGCCCCAAGATCTGCAACAAGAGAAAACTTTCAGGCTACCTCATACAGGATGTTTGTTTTAAAATAGAAAGGTAGGAAGTAGAAGGGGCCGCTGGTAGAACACTGAGTTTGAGGAGTTACAATTCCAACAATGAATTGTGGGGTGGACAGATAGGAGGAGTCTTGCTGCAGGCGGGGGACAACACCTACTCATGTAGCCCCAGTCTGCTCATGTATTTCATCTCTTCTGCACAGTAAAGAAGAGTGAGGCCAGAGGATGGTGGCTCTGATCAGTCCTGTTGTGCCGGTGGAGAGGATATATTGGAGTCATAAGATACAGGCTAGCTTGGTGGTGGTGGTGTTTAGTCACAAAGTTGTGTCCAACTCTGCGAGCCCATAGACTGTGGCCCACCAGGGTCCTCTGTCCATGGAATTCTCCAGGCAAGAACACTGGAGTGGGTTGCCATTTCCTTCTCCAGGGGATCCTCCCGACCCAGGGATCAAGCCATTTTCCTGCATTGCAGGTGAACTCTGTACTGTTGAGCCTCCAGAGAAGCCCATATAAGCTAGTAGCTGGGCATTTTAATTTGTCTTCCCCTGAAAAGGGAGTTCCAGTCATATTCAAGAGTACATGTGCTAGATGTTGTATTTAATATGTCCATTCATTATCTGCATGCTATAAAATGAATTGCAGACTTTTGGATCAGTTGAGAAAAGCTGACTTCTTCCCTTCACACACAAAGGACCTTTCTCCCAAGTGGATTCCTCATAACCAGGGAAATGGGCCAGGAAACCACATCTAAGATTAAAAATCAGCAACAGTGACTCAACCTCACTGTCAAATCTCAGTCCAGACCTGGAAAGCCCTGGTGTGAAGTCTAGGGCTCCGTGGACACAAAGCCTTTCCTCCAGTATGACTGTGACAGCAACAAGGTCAGACCTTTGGGTTTCCTGGAGGTAAACGACACCAAAGCGTGGGCTGAATTGAGCCAAATGCTGGGAGAAGCAGGAAGAGAGCTCAGGATGGTCCTGCTTGTCATCAAACTGGACAAAAAGGAGATGAGGGGTCCTCCCACCCTGAAGGTCAGGCTGTGTTGTCAGTGTGAAGCCGAGCAATGCTCTGGTGCATCCTTGCACTTCAGCCTCATTGGACGGACAGCCCTCCTTGACACCATGAGCATAACCTGGATAGTCATCGATCCTGGAGCCACAGGGATCAAGGAGGAGTGGCAGAACAACCAGAAACTGGCAGAGTATTTCAGGAAGATCTCAACGGGAGGCTGCAGTTATTGGCTTAGGGAATTCCTAGAACACTGGGAGAACATGCTGCTACCAGAGCCCACAGAGCCACTAATAATGGCCCCAGGTATTGGCCAGTCTGCATCCATCCGATTGGTTACTTGGATTGTCCTATTGATCATCACCCAGTGAGTTCTAATTGTGTCATCTTCATGAATCTTATGAAGAAATCAGGGACCACAGCAGCTATTGCATCATCTGGATGTTTCTCCCTGGACTATGAGAAGGTACAACGTTAAACCAACTCTGGGTGGCAAAAACTGACCCTTGATGACAGTCTGGCTGTTGATCTATTATACTACCTTCTACTTAGAGTGGGATTTAACAAGAAGCTAAAGAAGCTCATGCTTAAGAATTCCTTCACTTTCCACGACTGTTAATGGACACTTAAGATGTATTGACTTGGTCATTTTGAGGATTTGCGAAAGTCAAATATTTGCTCACAATCAGTTAGGATTTCCAGTTCTATTCTTTCCATCAGACCTCCCTTCATGTAGGGTGGAATTGGGGTGGGGGGTGGGGGTTGGCATTTTAAAAATTCTGTTAAAAAGATAATGCATTAGGGATATACTTATGTGATTTAATGAGACATAATTTATGTGTTCACAATCACTTGCATGTATAGTTAAGTTACCACATGCTTTTATGGGCTGAATGTGTTCTTAATTCATGTAATAAAATCCTCACCTCCAAGAAAAAAAACAAAAACAAAAAAGCAAAAAAAAAAGTGACCTTTCTTCTGATAAAGGCAGTTCTCCTTTATCACTGCTTTAAGTCTCCTCCACTTCTGTATCTCCTTGTTTCTTGTTCATTGGGATGTTTCTCAGCCTAGCCGGGAGAATACTACCCATTCTTTCCTTCCTTCCTTAATTGGGCTATTTTTCTCTCTAGCCGAGAAGGTGGCCACCAACAGTGAACTTAGCATTTCCTCCGTTGTAAGACAGGAACAGTAGTAGGGCTGTGTTTACAATAATTGAACTGGTCAGAGGACAATTCTGAGCACTGCCTGTGATGATGCAGGCAAAGTACTTACTGCAGTGCCCCCCACACACCTCATAACCAGAAAACCTAGAAAATTCTATGACCCAAACAGTCTAATCTGGGACCAGGTCACACACACGGCCCCGCCAAAAGAGGCCTGGCTTGCATCTAGTGAGAAAGGAAGCAGTCCAGGTGCAAGGACAATGTGGCAGCAGGTGGGGGGTCACTGCCTGGACCACTGCTTACAGGTGTTACGTTCCACTTGACCATGTCCCTCTTGTTCAACTATCAACCATCCTGTTCTTGCAGTAGAGGAAACTGGGCTCACTACTCTCATTCCGAAATGAAAGCAAAAGGGACTTCCCTGGGGGTCCAGTGGCTAAGACTCCATGCTCCACTGGGGGCCTGGGTTCAGCCCCTGATGCAGGAACTAGATCATACATGCCACAGCTGAGACCTGACACAGACAAATAAATAAAAAAGAAATAAGGAAACCACAGTAGAAACTATAGCCCACATGAGCCACAAGAATATTAGTTACCCGATCACTGGGAATTTGGAATTGATTCTGTAGCAATCTGAGAATTGGTGAACCAGCTGAACAGGGTCTTCCTTGACCCTCAAATGACCTTCTAATTGAGAGAATTTCTCTATCTGCTGCTGTGGAAGATGTTGCTTTGGTACGTAAATGTATAATCTCTATCTTATCATATTACCAGAGAGCTGTATCAGGGCAATATTACCTGCTCTAAACCTCAGTAGTTTAACACATAGAAGGTCATTTCTCTTTCATTTTGGGTTCAAAACAGGTGTTCTTAGTTGATGGGTAACTCCCTTCCCAGTTGCTGTTGAGAAACACAGGCTCCTTCCATTTTGAGCAAGTGGCTTCCGTGCGTGTCTACATCAATCCAGAGGATGGGGAAAGAGCAGAGAGTCTTTGACAGACCAGGCATCAGACAGCAGACACTACTTCTGCTCAAGCTTCCTTTGATAGAACTTAGCCACATGACCACACCTAACAAGGTCCCACATGCTGCAAAGCAATGAAGCCCCTGCTCGCCAGAACTAGAGATAACCTGAGCACAGCAATGAAGAACCAGCTCAGGGAAAAAAAGAAGTAAATAAATAAAATTATCTTTTAAAAGTCCACATTATTCACTAGAGAGTCAAACATGGAATGCCAGAGGGAGTTGTGCTAATGTCCATCTTGCTCCCAATGGCTCCAAAAATGAGAGAGAACAAAATAAGATCAAAGGATTGTAGAGAATTGAGAAATCCAAACACCCCCACTGATCTTTCAGGGTAGAAATCTAAAAAAGCCTCACAGGACTTTCTCTTTCCTCTCACACTTCATCTCCTACTTCCTGTGCTACTCACTCCTTTCTGGCCACTCTGGCTGTCTTGCTCCTTTTCCAACAATGCAACATTTTTATTTTTCTGTCTGAAAGACTGACTTTATTTTGCATGCTAAGGCACTTCAGTTGTGTCTGATGCTCTTTGCGACTCTATGGACTGCAGCCACCAGGCTCTTCTGTCCATGGGATTCTCCAGGCAAGAAGACTGGAGTGGGTTGCGATGCCCTCCTCCAGGGGATCTTCCCAACCCAGGAATCGTACCCAAATCTCTTACATCTCCTGCATTAGCAGGTGGCTTCTTTACCACGAGCATCACCTGGGAAGCCCATTATAACATACACTCCTCCCTTTTCTGCCAGAGTTATGTCTAAAGCCAATCAATTTCCCCATGCCAGTTTGCTGGTAGCATCTAACTGTTCTGCTACTCCCTTTAGAGCGTCTCTGGAATAGTTAACAAACCTCTGTGGGTTATAGTAGATATAGTTTATCCAATCTACATTTTTGTTAATGGTAGACCACCTGAATGATACCAACTCACAACCTGCTGCTATTTGGTTTCTAGCCTTGAATTCATTAGGAATTCTTCTAGGGATCCTAATAGAATTTATATATATATATCTATATCTATATATATATATCTATATATACACACACACACACATATATATGCGTATATATAGGTATATATATGGATCAGGCTTTATTTTAGTCTTTGTTTAAAATCCACCATCTCACAGCATTTGTCCCTAGTCACTTTTATACATAATATTAACCTTTATGACACTCCATTCTTTAACGTGCTTTATTTATCATGACCTGAAAATATTATTAACTTATATTATATATATATATATATATGACATAAATAATACAAATAAACCCACCAAAATGCCAACTGTATGAGGGCAGGCATCTTGCCTGCTGTCATCAGGGGCTTAGTCTAGTCATAGTCCCTGCAGCATGTTTATTACTAATACCAGTTTCTTCTTTCTCATTCATATGTGCATGCACCATGGTTAAATTAATATTCCTAAAGACAAGTTGCAATCACATGACCTACTTTGTTCAATACGTTAAGCTGTAGCTGACTGCATACAGAATGAAGTCCAAATTCCTCACAATGGGGAACTGATGCAGTCCTAGCCTAGCTTTTATATTATGTCTCACCATTCCTCTACTATTCATTTCAAGCAAACTGGACTTTGCAATGTGTTCAAAAGATATGTGTATTCAATATCCGCATTTCCATGTTTTCAAAATTTTATCCAGCTTGTCTCAAATCATTCCCTCTTCATGACAAAATTTCCAATTCTCTCTGGTTGAATATGACTCTGCATCCTTAAAGAACTTAACATGCAACTCTTTTTTCCCCCACTGAGCAACTTGCAGGATCCAAGTTCCTTGACCAGGGATCAAACCCACACCCACTGCAGTTGAAGCACAAGAGTCCTAACTACTGGACCACCAGGGAGGTCCTCTGGGGGTGACTCTTTTATTGCACTTACCTTGTCTTTTTTCTCCTTCGTTCCACGGCAAGGCTGAGACCGTGTCTGACTCATCTCCATGTTGCCCCAGCAGAGTGCCTGACATCTGACTGACATTCATTTACGGAGCACCTGTTGATTGCAGACAGACTTGGTGAGTGCTGGATCACAAATAAACTAACTATCTGGAAGAGAAACTATTATTAACTCCACTGTACAGAAACATGTCCAAGGTCACAGTGATAGAGCTAGAATTCCAACTCAATTCTTTTTCCAGGTTATCTGTATAGCAACAGCGTACACAGGCATGTGATCTGAAAGATTGCAGCAAACTTTACTCATAATAAAGCCCCAGAATCTGGAGGATACAACATCTGGTTATTTTGGCTGAGAATTTTTGGATTTCTATTATTCTTTCCTCGTGACTGGTTCCAAGTGTTTATTTCTGAGTCTGACACATCTCTGGGCTGTTTTATCCTTTTGATGGAAATGATGTACTATACAGATTTACAAGAGTGTTCTGAAAAATATGAATTCCATATTGCTGCTCAATTGCGTCAGCTGGTATTTTAAGCCAGTCAACACTATGTATTCAAAACAATCAAGGGACCAGGGAACAATTAGTTAGGAGCCTTGGCAGCCAGAGAGTAAATTACATTTATGAGCATACTCTGGAGCCATCACAGAAAGCTCTTTAATGAGAACATGGGCTATTTGTTCTCGTTCATCAAACCATATCTATATGGATGCGGTTGTTGGTTTGAACAACCCCCAGCTTTTGTTTTTAAGGTCGGAGTGGAGATTCCACACACTGTCATCTGGACCACTTGCAAGAGTCGCTGAAATGTATCAATGTTTCATGGATGTGGAATCCACACTTGAGTTTTGAAAGCACATTAGTTAGTGGTAAATAACCCACCTGCCAATGCAGGTAGATGTAAGAGACATGGGGTTTCAATCCCTGGATTGGGAAGATCCCCTGGAGGAGGGCATGGCAACCCACTCCAGTATTCTTGCCTGGAGAATCCCATGGACAGAGGAGCCTGGCAGGTTACAGTCTACGAGGACACAAAAGAGTTGGACACAACTGAAGCGACTCAGCATGTAACACTTTTTTATTAGATATTTGGCCACATGGTACAATTGAAAGTATATTAAACTTGAATTTAAGAGTCTAGATCTTCTTCTCTCTAACTTATTATCTGGGCAAGTCATTTTACTTTGTTAGTGTAAAAAATAGAGGATAGTACATTAGATAAAGTTTGCCCCACTTAAAAATTCCAATTGCATGCTGCCCACATATTGATGTAAA